AGTGTCCGGGTAGGACAGAGGCCGGAGGCGATCATAGTCTTCTTGCCCTGCTGTGTCCCACAGAGCCAGCTCCACCTGACACATAGGACTACTGAGTAGCTAGCCCGGGGAATCCCAAAACTAACACCCCAAGGTCCTCTGAAGGCTCCATAAACTTAGGGATCATCTTCGCAGCACTCAGTATGTGCTGAGCGGTACTGACCAATCACAAATGCAACAATCTAAGGTGGGCTTGCTCTTTGTGTAGTATGAGCTGCCATTGCACGCATCATTTAATTCTTACGGCAACCCTTTGGCTTTGGGGTAGGTCTTGCCCTCATTCACATTTTGCAGTGGAGTGAGGTTGAGCCCAAAGGCAAAGGGGCTTGGCTCAGATTCCAGAGCCAGTATGTGGTCAAACCAGACAGTACATCCAGGTTTTCTAGGGCTCCAGTTTCACTTCCTAACTTCCAGCAGGGAAATGAAGCAGAGACACACGCGGGTCTAAGAAAGGACACACTAGGGCCCTATGGGAATGGGGGCAGGGTTCCCAGCCAGGAAAGTCTTGGCCTTCACCTGCTTGCCATCCACTTCAATGTCTGCGATGTAGTTCTCGAAGACTGTAGGGACGTAGACCTCAGGGAACTGGTCCTTGCTGAAGACAATGAGAAGGCAGGTCTTCCCACAGGCCCCGTCGCCCACAATCACCAGCTTCTTCCGGATTGCAGCCATGGTTTAAACTGGCAGTCAAGTGGCAGGGGATTTGGGAGGAAAAAGAGAACCCAGTAAGGCCACTAGCACAGCTCTAGGGCCCCCAAGCTTCCGTGAAGACCACAGCGTCCAGCAAAGGAAGAGAAGGGGGCTTGCCAAGGCCTGTTCTTGCCAAGAGCCAAACCTGCAGGCAAAAGACCTTGAAATGCTGGTCAGAACAGGTCTTCCTGGGTGGGTTAGAACTGATCGATCAGGATCAGGAGAAGGAAGAAGATGACACTTGGCTTAGCCAAGAACACTAGCTTAAATCTTGTTCACATGCAAATGCTCCCAAGAGACCTAGATTTATCTGCGTTGCCTATCAGCTTCACTTTTTTTTTTTTTTGGCCAGGATTTTGACTCATTAATAACCACTAAAATGCAAGCTAGAATAGACTGTCCTCCATAGAAGTCATGCATGCCTGGTCACAAAGACGTCAGCTACAGGTGGTAGGGCCGAGCAAGGAACACAGGTAGAGCCTCTAGGCGGAATCTCCTGGACACACGTGTTTTGTTGGGTATTTTGAAAAGACTCTTCAGGTCTCCAGTTGCCTAGTAGGTGGATGTGGAAGTCAAAGGACAACCCATAGTCAGTTCTTCTCCCTCCCAGTGGGTTCCTGGGCTCGAACTCGGGTGATGATGCTTGCTCAGCAAGCCCCTCTGCCCGCTGAGCCATCCGACCCCAGGCCATCCTACTTTGACGAAAGTGAGAAACTGAGGCTCAGATTTGGACACATTATTTCGAGTGTGACACATACAGTGGGTGCAGGGCTGACTCTCAAAGCAAGGCGAGTGATCCAGTCTGTCTGGCCTACACAGCACCCCACAAGCGAGAACAGAAAGCAAGCCGGGGGACAGGGGGAGCAACCCCAGGACAGTAGTAGCAGCCGGCTGGCTCCCTGGCCCCCCCCACCCCTTCCCCAAAGTCTCAAGTCACACAAAGAAGGCTCAGTCCTGGCAGCTCACGGTCAGGCAGGCTGCCCCCCCCCTCCCCGGGCCTGGCAGCAACATTGGGTCACTCAGCCCCTGACAGGGGACAATGACCACACTGTGAGGAGCCACACATCTATCACAGCACTGATATGATGGAGCTAATCCACTTGGGAATCACCTCCGCCCACTCTCTGGAACAGCCCCTTCCTCCTAGAGACCAGCTGACCCTTAGGCCCGCAGACACCTCCCTGGGACTTGAGACACAAGGCCAGCTTCTCAGTGTCTGTGTGTGTCCCGCACCCCAGCACACACGAACAAGCAGTTCACACCTTCACAGCTTCTCTTTCTTCTCAGTCGAAGGGGGCTGACCAGGCTACTGAGGTCCCCAGGCCTACACACACGGGGAGGGAGAATGCCAAGCCACTAGAGATGGAGTCCAGGCTGTTGGTGAGAGGGAGGGAGCTAGAGCCCGGGCTGGGAGGAGCCCAAAAGAAAAGACTAATGAGGATCAGTCTAAGCTTGGACCAGGCAGGGAGCAGTTAAGTAGGGGACAGTAACCCGATCCCAGCCCCAAACTTGGCTTTTCCTTTCAATCCCATATCCTGTCTGGCTCAGCTGGGCTCCTTTACACACCACCACCTCAGACCCTGGCCTGTGCCTGCCTTTTCGGAAGCAGAATACTCTAGCCCGGGGGCTGATTCTTTTCAGTATCAGGCTTCTGGGTGGTTCCTCCTCCTAGAATACACAAACACACACACACACACACACACACACACAACTGGAATATGGGGGAAGAGGACATGAGTCACAGGGAATTTATAGGACCTGAGTACGCACAGCCCCACTTAGCATCCCCCACCACAAGGGATTGTTCTCCCTGATACCCCCAAAAGACGGAGAAGGCATTCGCTCTGCGGCTGCTATCTCCTTTAAAGGCGAGGTCTGAGAAGTACATCCAGGTAACCCACAGGACTTCTTCCAACTCCCCCACCCACTCCCATTTAATTCAGCTAAGTCCAGCTGTCTACAGGCTGGATGAGACAGCACCAGCCTAGGGTGGGCAGTGTTGACGGTGGGTGATGACTACTACACGCTAGTCACTTCCGCATGCATGCGCCACTTGCTGTCCCACAGCAACATGGTTGGCACCGGACGGTAGGAGGCAGAGGCCAGAACTTCAGGGCCCGAGCTTTAGAGCCCCCAGCTCAGAAATGTTTGCATCTAGCCTCTTCTTGACCCAGAAGAGTTGGAGAGCCAGGCCAAGCCAAGACATGAGGCCCAAGGCCAAACCGGCAAGGCTACCTAACACACTTCTGTGAAACGCGGTCCCAGAGGAACTGCCCCACTGACCCTAAGAGATCAGGAAACCTCAGGCAGGGCCTGAAGAGGGGTCTAGAACTTGTGGGGCCTTCCCCGGGTCAAAACACTAGCCTTTCTTATTCTCTTGGTTTCCCAGGTGATCCAACAGGCCTTTGTACTCTGCTCTATTGAGATCTAGGCAAGGAATCACTCTCCAGGCAATACCTCTTCCTTAACTTTAAAGCCAGACGTGAAGGAAGAAATGGATCCCAGCTTTCAGCCCAATCCCCTAACACTCCCAAACCTCCTAACAGGGTAGGAGGCAGAGTCTGGGATTTTGGTGTTCTGGTTTTTTTCTCACTCTCAGACGCACATACACAACATGGGAGTGGAATCTTTCCTTGTCGTCTCAACCTCTTAGTTCAGACTAGCTCCAAAAACCATCTAGGGAGGCGTCCAGACCCGCCAGGCAGTGGCAGCCCCCAATAGTAACACCCCGCCCCTATTCCCGCCATTCCTCTTCCCAGGCCAGAACTCCCCTAGTCGACCCAAGGCCGGGTTCCTTACGCCCCGCCTGGAACTAGAGCGTCTGGGTAGGGTCGCTCACAGAGATCCAAGTGGATCCCTGGCCCGGCTAGGGGGGCTCAGAAAGGAAAGAGGCTCTGGTTCGAGAACGCTCTAACCCAGGAGGCTAGCGCGCCTGCCCCGCAGCTCGGGGCGCTCTCCCGTGGCCGGCCCGGAGCCCCCTCCCGGGCCGTTCCCCGAGTGATCAGAAAACCGGGAAAGTGCTTTCCTCGGAGCCTAGTTCCCACGACGCCTCGCCACCCCCCAGCTCGGGCCCGGGTACCTTCCGCTCCGCCGCCTCCAGCTGCGCGGCCGGTGCCGGAGGCTGAGACTGACCCGAACCCCGCCCCACTCTCCAACACCGCTCCGGGGCGGGCCAGTGGGGGGAGGTCGACGGGGGCGGCCCTTGGCTCGGCCCGCCTCTGCTCCCCGCCCCGGGCCGCCGCAGGTCACCCCCGCTGCTGACCGAGCATCGGGCGTGGGGCTGGAGCTGGAGGGACCGTGCCGGGAAGAAGTCTGAATTATTGGGCGGTGGGACCCCGGAGGACTCGGCATCGGCCCCTTTACTTCCAACCCTCCTACCGTGGGGGGCGGACCCGAGTCGGGAAAGTTGAGCGGCTCCCAGGGTGGGGTCAGCCAGGGCCGCTGCTGCCCTCGCGTGGCCAAGCAGCCCTCCTTCGCCCTAGCCGTGACCGAGGGGACCCGCTATGCCGAAGCTGCCCACTCTCTTCTCCAGGAATCACTGCGCTAAGTGTAACAAGACGCTATCTCGAGCTTTGGAGGCCTTTTGCGATCTGCAGTCCCCAACCACCGTCGTCGCCTTACAAGGCCCTTCCTTCCTTCGCCGGGAATTTCCCTATATCCTGTTAAGAGCGCACTCCTGGAAGTGCTTCCTTGTCGCCAACTAGGAACTGAGCTCATACTCCTATTGTATTGTGTTGTTGAGCCCAGTCTGATGTGTTTCATACTTACCTGACCTTATAAAGGGCCCAGGAGGTGGGTGTTAGAGGAAGTCTATCAGTATTTTATTTGCAAGTGCTGGATACTTTAAACACGCAGGTCTCTGGAATAAGCTCACCCATTCCCTTTTGCCTGTAAAGAAACTGGGACCCAGGGAAGTGGTTTGGCAAACGATTTGTGACAGCAAGAATTTACAGTGAGGTGGACCATGATAGGTCCTAGGGAGCAGAGGCAGGTGGATCTCTATGAGTTAGTTCCAGACAACCTTGGTTACATGAGACCCTGTGTCAAAACTCAATCAATCCGGCTCAGGGGTTAAGAGCACTGGTCAAGCCTTCCAGAGGTCCTGAGTTCAATTCCCAGCAACCACATGGTGGCTCACAACCATCTAGAATGAGATCTGATGCCCTCTTCTGGCCTGCAGGCATGCATGCAGAGAGAACACTATACATAATAAATCTTTTTTTTAAAAAATCAATCAAATGTACAGTCAGGCCTATAGGGGACCTAGAACTAGGTGCTGGCTCCCTGCTGCCTCCCATGCTCCTCCTCCAACCTGCCCTCTGCACCATCTAATCAATGTTCTGCTCATCACAGCTTTCAACAAGGACTTGCCGAATAAACGCATGTTAGAAATCACATGGAGTCTACTGCAGGTACAGCTGGGCTTGGGGCTCACACCTGTAACCCCAGCACTCCTGAGGGAGCAGGGCTGCCAAAGCTCTCTCAAACACAGGCAGATACATACACAGTCACTTGCTCAGGATCTGAAGGACAAACCACACATTTGGCAAATCAGGCAACTGAGGTGGTGAAAGGCAGTTTGGCACCCAAGTCTTTTAATTCATTCAGTAAGCATTGGCTGGCTGTGAACAGAATGCTGTTACTAACCACAAATTTCGGCCTTCAGATAACTTACAGCCTAAATGAAGAACACAGACAACCTAACATAGCTAACATTTATTGAAGCATTGTTACATGAACCTTGCTCACCCTACCCACACGAACTACGCTTAGTTCTTATGAGGCAGTACTGTTATCTATACTTTACTGAGACACGGAGGCTCACAGAAGTTACAGTGGTGTCGGGGCAAAACAGTCGGACTTGAGAGTCCCTGCTCTTCATGGCTACTCCCCTTTGGCTCCTCCTATGGGCAGTTATAATTCTGGAGGGTAACTACCTTAGCAGCATGCAGGGGATGGGGGATACCCAGACCGGGAGGACAGGACGGGTGAAATAGGCAAGAAATGGTAATGTGAGATTTAAAGTAAGGTGGAGCTCTGACAAGCCCAGAGTTTGGAGGAAGATGGTGAAGCTAGAGAAAGACATAGCAACCTGATCCTATTTTAAGGTCCTTATATGCCGTGCTCAGGACCAACTTCAGGTCTGTTCTGGGCACAATAAGGAGCCTCTGAAGTTAGGAAGTTGGTGTAATAAAGATCTAATGTTACGAGGGAGGCAGGAATAAAGGCAAATATGAAAGGTTTTTTAAATAGTCAACAGCAGAGTCACACATCCCTTTATATTAGACATGTTATGAGAACGTGTCGCCGAGGAATTTCATCCCTGTGTGAAGAGCAGGAAGTATACTTACACAAACTGGGCTGGCACAGCCTAGGACACCGCTGGGCTACACTGCATATACCATCACCATCACACAGGCAGTCGATTTCCTGAAACATTACATGGCCCGCATGATCGAAGCAGTCGAGAATGGTAACGAAGAGGCATAAGCCAGGTATGGCCAACTGCTGGATTACTAACTTGGGCAGCCATAACGCTGGCCATAAAAGGGTGAAGCAGGAGAATTGTTATGTATGAGGGAAATGGTGACTTCAGGTTGAGGTGCACTGCTCGGAAGCACCAGAATACCACGGAGGAGATGGTTGGGAGAGGACCGGAGGCATGGGTCCTAAAGCTCGGCAAAGGTTTGGGCCAGACACACAGACTTGGTGGGTATCGGCAGCTGGAAAAAGCCGCAGCTGGATGAGGCAAATGGAGCCACTCGTGGCAAGCACACGGAGTGGGCAAAGAAGGCAGTAGAGTCTCTGGGCGGTCACATGTTTAGGAACGGTCTGTTGTTCTTTTCATCACCCACTTTGCAGGTTCCAGTCAAAGCAAATAATGACACACACCTTTATCCATCCGGTTTATTTGTCAGTTGCTGGAATTCTGGATCTAGTGGGCGTCCCTTTGCCAATTAAATGGCCACTCAAGAGGCGGGGACACAAGTTCGGTTTGGGACTGGGAGACGTATGGAAAGGCTGGGGTAGCAGTGAGAGAGGGATGGGGCTGAGCCCATCAGGAGTAACTGCCTGGCCCTCCCAGGGGGATGACGAAGACCGAGATGTCATCCCCGGAACCCAGCTTGTTGTTGGGGAGACGCCAGCCACGGTCCCGGGGGATGCCCCGGGCCCCCAGGACCAGAGCTTGGGCCAGAGCTGTATACCTGCCAGGAGCACATGTGCACATTCATGTACCGACACGTATACGAGAAGACAGAGACAGGCCCATATGTGGGTCTCCAGGCTTTGCTCCCCCTTTGTCCCTTCTTTCACCAGTGCTGCCCCCCAACACCTTGCCAGGCAACCCCCTACCTGCTGGGATCATTGGGCTCATAGGCCGACAGCACCCTGTCCACAGTGGCGGCTACCTCACAGTCATTAGTCACATCCCACAAGCCATCCGTTCCCAGGACTAATACATCATCCGGACAGTGCTCATACTGCGTCAGATCATACACTCGTACCTGGCGGGGGGCGGAGGGGGGAGAGAGAAGATGTGTGAGGTGTGAGGATAGATAGACAGGAGGTCGGAGACAAAGAGGGCCCTGGGTAAAAGCCAGCCTGAGCCTCCGGAAGGGAAGGTGTGCTCACCTCGGGGAAGCAGGAGAGAAAAGGCTTGATGGGCAGAGTGGAGCTGCAGACCTTAAGGTTGTGGTCTCCGAGGCCTCGGGTCACCCCGATGGTGGCCATGACCCGGGCCTGAGGGAAAGGAGAAGGAAGGCTGCTCTTTAGTTCCTCTCTCGGACTCACTGAAACCAAGAACCCTCCCACACCTACTGTTCGGTGAAACCTCCACCTCCCTGGACAAGCTGTGGTGGGGCTTCCTGCCCTCTCCCACCTCGACCACAGGGTTTTACCTTTTTGCCCTCCCCACAGACCAGAGGAAACCTGAGATCCTCCAGCTCAATCTTTTTGTAGGCCCTGGGAAGGGAGGAGCAGAGGAGGCATCACTCAGGTGGCAAAGCCCCTGACCCCTCTGAACAGCATCCCACCCCACCCCACCCCCACACACACAAGGCCTTCCAGGGAATGGCCGTATCCCCGACTCCCAGCCTGACCCAGACTGCAGCCTCCACCCCGCTGCTGGTGAAGAACTGGTTGCATTGCCATGGGAACGGCCCCAGCTCTGAGGGAAGTGTTACCAGCCAGTCATATTCTGGTCCCTGTACAGCATCCTCTGCCCCAGCTCCTTGGGCTGAACTCTTCGGGGAAACTCAAGGTGGGTGAACTCACTGCCCAGCAGTTCTGGTTTCAGGAAGCCCTGAGGTGAGGAGGGGCCAGACAGGAGAGAGGGCATTACACTCACATCACACTCTGATACAACACAGAGCTGTTAAGTTATCGCCGATCCTTCCATTGTACTGCAGGCTACACATTCCTCTAAATATTAAATAAGTTAACCCATTCACCCCTCACAAAGGCCTGTGAGGCGTGAACCATTGTCACACAATGAGCAAAGCACACAAAGCAGGATTCAGACCCAGGCAATCCAGATCAAGAGCCCACAAGAGGATGCTCGAGGATAATGCCCTTGCTGGAGCCTTTGTTGCTCTCCTCCTCCACCTCTGGCTCTACTTCCTTCCTCAGCAGGGCCTACAATGGCAGCTCAGGCTCCTTCCTGCTGCATCACCCCTCCAGCTCACCCAGCGCTCCACAGCCCACTTGGCACCTTCCTACCCGGGACAGTCCCGGTAGGAAGTTTTCTGGTAGGGAGAGCTACTTACAAGCAGCTGAAGACGCTGGCGCTCCGTCTCTGGTGTGAACTCCCGGGACATTGGAATGATTTCACCATTCCGGATAATGATGGCCCTGCCCAGAGACAGACAAGGCTTGGATCTGACTTTCTCAGACCCCTTCGTGGAGAATTCCAGAAGAACCAGACCCACCCCATAATGAATCTGATGGGGCTTCACTCAGGCTCCCACCTTTTCTTTCCTTGTAGATAGTTCCAACCTTGCCTTATCACTGTCACCGCCCCCACCCCCACCCCACCCCTTGAATCTTTTATACTTGACCCACTGCCACCTGACTGTCTGCTCTCCCATCATCCTGGAGAGCGTGGCCCCTTACATGGCCGCTGTCAAAGCCCTCTCCCCACTCACCTGCTGTCTCCTGCATTGGCCACATACATCTTGCCTAGCAGGTACACCACAACCAGTGCACAGCAGCCCCCCTCCACTTGGTGGCCACGCCGCTCCCGAGCCATCTGCTCATCCTGCCAGGTGAGGAAGGGTCAAAGGGGTCACCTGCCCTACTTGCCTCTGCAGGCCAGAGTGGGCGAGAGAAGGACCACAGCGGGTAACAGACCAAGTTCTGCTCAGGCTTTCAAAGGTGCTGTGGATTCTGGGGGCCACCCATCCACTGACTCCCACCACACAGGGTTGACTGGAGTGTCTGCACAGGCTACCCACTCACCATGAGCTGGAAGGCATTCTCGATGGCCCCTACTACCAGGCTCTCGTGGGTTACTTCCTTCTGTGGAGACCAGCAGGACTGAGGGCTGACCATGTGTGACGGATCTGAGAAACCCGGGGTCCCTGGAGTGGATGGGAGACAGAGGGGAGGCGGCAAGGGGTCCTGAAGTATTTCTACTAGATCCTTTAGCTGCTCCCGGATGTGGCGATGCAGGAGCCGGGAAGCCATTTCAGCAGCTCCGCCACCAGCATGCCCATCAAACAGGCCCCAGTAGTAGAAGCAGAGTCCCTGGTGAAGGAAAAGTTGGAAGTCAGTGGGGGAGGAGGGTGACAGGGCAGAACAAGCCAGTAAGCACCCATACAAAAATCACATAGGAGATCTGAGTGTGATTTAAGGTAAATTAGATTTATTCACTTATTCATGCAAGGCCTACTGTGTCAAGAGAAAGAAAAGGCAAATTCGAAATATGAAGGATCCAAAGATCAGCACTGATGATTAATTAGTTAAATCATCCATAGATACATGAGCAGTTATGTTTTAAATGGAACAGTAAACATTCACAGCGGAACTAATCTAATTGAAGCCACTTAGAGCTTCTGTGGTAGAGATAGAACCTCTACACCTCTTGGATTTAGAACCAGGGCCTGAAATCCCTAGAGGAGGGTTGTCACCACATCTCTGGAGGTTAGGAAAAAGGATAAAATATTACCTGGTTCCGGGGAGGCTCCCTGGAGGCCCCTGGAACACCCCTCCGGCTTTCCACATACACGACTTCACAGCAAGCCTGGTCCTCATTGTGCCTGCTCTTGCCAGCATTGATGACCCTGCCAGGCCCGAGTGTCCCACATCAGGTTAGACACCAGACTAGGTCCTGGAATAACCCCACCTTAGACACACACACATCCTCTCCTGCCTGCTGGCCAAGCTGAAAAAGGTCACAGCTGCCTGGGCTTCAAGCCAGAGGGAAGAGGAGAAGGCAGGGCCAGCAAGAAGTAATGTCTGGGTGGCAGAATGTACCACCTCATAGAAACTGCCTGTCTCAGTTCCTTCATCCTTGGGCAAAGGAGGCTTTCTGGAGGGTGGTGCTGGGGGGTGTGGCCAGACAGGAGCAGTTAAGTTTTACTTCCCTACCAATCAAAAAATTTACATTCCTGTCTCTAGTCTCACCCAACTCTGCCAGTGATTCTTGGGTACATCCACCCTCACCCTAAAACCACCCAGTGAAAGTTCCGGTCTCTCTTGCAGTGAGGAAATGCTCCAGACCAAGAGGAAAAGAAGGTCTACCGGGACTGGACATGAGTCTCTTAGCTATAGACTCCTCCCACGTGGGAAGCTGAGTGAGGAGGTGAGGGTGAGGGGTCACCCACCATTTCCCTCCACGACCTCAGTGCCCCCCATGTCCCTGGTGGCTTGGCTCGGGTTTTTCCCGAAGATGCATTGAAAATATACATGTTTGGGGGGCATGCTGACGCTCGGCCGGTGCGAACCAAAGGGGTCTATTTCCTTGCCCTACCAGCATCTGTCTGCCTGCAGATCCGCATCCAAAGGGAACCATCACGGGCCGAGGGCGGACCCCTCCCCCGCCCCGGGAAGCCCGCGGCCTTCTGGTGTCGCGGGCTATTTCTGGGTGTGGAGGGGGAGGGGACCGGTAAGAAGGACAGGGAACTGGGGCGCTGGGGCCAGGAAGCGAGTGAACTAGTCTTTCCACCCGTGATCTCCCTGAGAAAGGGAATTGCTCCTTCTCGAACCTCCCCTCCCTTAGCCTGTGAACCGCGGGTGGCGACTGTGAACCGGCCAACTCATCCTCGGTGCGCCATGCCTTCTCCCTAGGAGGGGACTGTCCTGAGCCGGCGAGGGGGAGGGTGGGCAAGGTCCTGAAGAAGCCTATTGAGGTTGCACCCCGTCCGAGAGAGGGCTGGAAGGGTGAAGATTCCTGGGAAGGTCCCCGGAAAGTCGTGTGGGGGACGCATCCCAGTGGCCGGGACGCGTCTACTGGGAGGGTGGGAGTCCCATCCTCAGCTGGGAGCCCAGGGGTGCTCACTCGGCATAGCCTGTGCTCCAGGGCAGGCGGCGACCGGTGTCCGGGGGGCTTTGCACAGCCCGGCCTGTGTGGTCGTCCGCGCGTCGCAGCCCCCCGGGGCTCAGCTGAAGAAAGGTGGGTCTGGAGAAGCTCGCCCGAGTCTCCGCGGTCTTCGGGGGTGCCCAGACCTCGCTCCCAGGCCTCGCCGGGGGGCTCTTAGGTGTTTCTGAGGCGACAGGCGGCGTGGAGGTATCGCTGGGCGAATCGGGGGACTTAGGGCGCTGGGGCGGAGTGCCACCCGAGCTCACCAGGTGCGCCACAGCCGAGCGCACCCGGTTTAGCATGCTGCCTCCCTGCCCCGCCCTTGGCCTTGGCCACGCCCCCGAAGAGGCCCCGCCCCTAGGACTCCAAGTGGGTGGTGACCTCTCTTGAACCAGGCCAAACTTCCCCAGGCTCTAAATCTTGCGGGAACTGCCCCCACAAACTTCCCGCCTCTTATCCGCATCCCGACGTCATTCAGCCAGAGTGTCACAGGGAAAGGGGTCTGTTGTGGGAAGGAAGCGGAGAGAAGGAAATATTTCAGTTGTTCTGTAGGTTAGATATCCGCTAGATCTAACCGGTTAGAATTTACCCATTGTGACAGGGGTGGGCAAGGCAGCCTCCTCGCGTTCCGTTCGGGGTGGCCAGTCAGCATGGAGAGCTTTGGAGCTGATGACTTCAGAGCGAAACATTCACTTGGGTGTGAACCACTTGGTGTGACAACACCTCAGGCTGTAGCTGATGAATCGAGAGGAGAGAGGAGGGGAAGAGAGGAGAGAGAGAGAAAGAGAGAGAGAGAGAGAGAACACGAGCTATACAAGCCCGGCAGCTGACCTCTCCAGATCGCGAGTCCTGGGACAAAGTCCTGGGCACTGTTCTGTCAAAGGTCACTTTCACATTCTAGAGAACGATTGTCACCCCATCCCACTTTCCCAGAACGTTTCCTCCATATTTAGACTTCTGCTGGCCAGTTAGTTAGAAGGCTAACAGCGTAATAAATAACTACAATTATTGAGGACTTGCTGCGCACTAGGCCCTCTACAAAGCGTGTTCTATTCGTTAGGTCACTGCACAAACACCACATGTGGGTTACACCCATTTTACAGATGAGGCGGGAGTGGCCAATCTCCTGTTATTTTATTAGACTTGCCCAAAAGTCACGCAGCCACTTAGAGAGCCATGCACACGTCAGAACCTGTTTCTGACGCTGGTTTCTCTAGATTAGGAAGAAAGGCGCAGAAGGGTGCGGGAATCCTAAATTTCCACCCTCAGAGGCTCCAGCAGAACCGGGATGCTGAGCAAGGTCTCTGGCTACCGCCAGGGGGAGGCAAAAGCCAGTTTAAAAGCTTGTCTGGGTTGCAGGCAAGGTTAGAAGAACAGAGCTAACCCAGCACTGTTCTTCTGCCTTCTTGGTGGGAGAGGATTACTGTCCTGCCTCGGAAAGTGTTCTGCCCTTACAATGTGGATTAGAGAGTCGATCATGTCCCCATCTATCTCCAACATACGGCTTCAGCTCCACAGAAGTCAAGGCCCTTGAGGGAAGGAACCACAGACTCCCTGTTCAAAGCTATAATTCAACCTGCAGGCTCCCAGTTGGTGCTTCCTGATCATAACCTGCGCCTCCCCATCTTGTGGGGCCATCTTGACCACTTCTATTTAAAAATTCTGCAGTGGTCATTCAAACAAAGTACACAGACCTGCTAAAATTATGCCCGAGTTTTGGGGAGAAAGATGAGGTCGCCGGGGTGGAGCTGGGGTACACTGCTTACAATCCAGACTCAAAACCAGCAGCAAAGGCGTCCAGGGACAAAGAACAGACCGCCACTATGGGTGTTTTCTTTGTGTTTGAGAAAAACTGAAGCCAGCTGTAATGCCATAGTCTCAGTGGGAAGCCAAGGACTGGGGGAAGAAAGAATAACCTTTGGTTTTATTATTCAGTGTTTCTGGGACAGCTTACCTGTCACTTTCCAGTGCCATCCAGCTTCCTGGCTCTTCACGGCATCCGTGATGTGGCCACAAAAGTAGGCCACAGAGTTAGGGCCTTTCAACCCCTGAACTTCAGGACAGTTGCTCCCCTATTCCCTAGAACCATTCTGGCTCCCATCCATAACCAAATTTGAGGGTTCTCAGACCTCTGAACTTCCCACCTATTCCTGGACCATCACACCTCTTCTGTCCTGACTTCTCTACACCTGGTGAGAGGTCCTCTCCTGGAGGCAGTAGAGGGTGAGAGGAAAGGTGGGAGCAAAACAGGAAACACACATTTATGAGATGTGTTCTCTCTTGGGAGCTGAGAGACATCCCTCAGCGGCAGAGGAGAACCAGGCCTGAGCCACAGAGGGGAACAGAGCATCCTCAGAACAAGCCCCCTTAGTCAGGCATGGTAGCACACACCTGCAATCCCAGGAGGCAGAGGCAGGAGGATCAGAAGTTAGTAGCTAGCCTGGGCTACATGGTAAGTTCAAGGCCAGCCACGGCTACATAATGAGACTTTGTCTTAAAGAGGTGAGGGCAATGACATAGCAGGTAAAGGTGCCAAGCCTGATGACCCTGGTTCGATCACCAGCACCTATACAGTGGGGAGAGAGAGAGAGAGAGAGAGAGAGAGAGAGAGAGAGAGAGAGACACCCTTTGTCCCAGCCTGTGTGCTCAGGACCCAGAACCAGGCTTATTCTTTGTTTCTCCCCCACACTTTACCACCTCCCCAAATCTTCCTTACGATCACAGGTGAACACCTCCTTCCTGTGAAGAGACAGATTCACAAGACACCTCTGCCCTCAAGTGTTTAATGCATCCAAAATATGAACCTGTTAAAATTTTGTAATTAGGCTTACTTACCATTCTTCTGATGAAGACACTAGGAACCTCAGATGTGGTTCCCAAGATGAAAGTCATATTCGATATTCACAGGACCATTCGCCAGCCTCTTGATGTCCTCCAGTCTGGTTCTCCACCCTGGTCCTGCCCCTAGTCCTCCTGGATAGAAGGGCAGAACTTCTGTGCCGGAAGTATTTACTGCAATTCTCTTTCGGTGTCAGATGGGAAACCCTGTGGTAAAGAACTTGGTGCAACACTGGAATCTTCCAACACAGTGATCCTAGCTTCCTAACCTGGAAAACACTTCAAATAACACCCCAAAGTCCTAGCAAAGGAATGGATTTGCTCCCCTGCACTCTATCTTTCCTTCATTTTGAGGTATGGTCTGGCTAAGAAGCCCTAGCTGGAATGGAACCCTGTGTAAACCTTATAGACCAAGCTGTCCTCAAACTTGCAGGCAACCTCCTGACCCTCCTCTGTCTCTATCTCTGCTTTTTTTCTCCCTTTGGATAGGGTCTCACACTACAGCCCAGGCTGCGCCAGAATTCGTGACAATTCTTCTGCCTCAGCCTCCCAAGTTCTGGGATTATATGTGTAAACTGCTCTGCGTGGTCTGAAGTACTGGATTTTAAGGTTTAAGTAGCTCAGATTTAAATATTAGCCTGCAGATGGTGTAAATGAAGACGACTCCCAGCCCCAACACCCACCCGCATCCCTACCAGAACACCAAACTCCCTTGAACCACAGGGCTGGGGGCCACATTCCTGGAGGTCTCGGGGACCTGTTTCTAATTGTCACGTCCACGAATACAGAGCCCGTGGGCTTCTATCCCTGATCTCGCCCTGCGCCACCAGAGGCCGCTGCGTGCCAGTTGCGCTCATCCCCTCCCCCCCCTCCGCAGAGCGCCCCAGGCTGTCTCGAAGGAGGCGGCGGTACCCGCAAGGGTTGAAGCAGCGGGGACGACTCCCAAGCCAAGCGACTGCGCGCTCCCCAGCCTGAGGGCGGCAAGCTCTGGAGGACCCGGCTAAACCTCCCCAGAGCTGGTGGGGCCAGGCCCAGAGCATCCCGGTGTTCAGAGCCGGTTTTACTGGGATGCCGGCTTAGCCATTGCCCTGCTCTCTCGGGGCACAGCAACTTGATAACGATTGATCGATCACAGACAGAGCTCGGGACCAGACAACACTCGAGCTGGCAACTCCGGGGGAGAACCCGCCTTTGTGAGTTTAGATCACAAGCTCAGAGGCATCAAGGACCTCAGGCCAGAAGGTTGAACCGGGACCACTGCTCTGGAGCAGGTGGGTACCAGGATTAAGAATGGGCGCTGAAAGGGGACAGGAGCAAGCAAAGCAAGGTCAAAGGTTGTTGTTGACCCCTTGCAGGCTGCTCTCTCAGCATCACCTTAGCCGGAATTGGAGAATAGGGAAAACAGCCCAAGGAAACAGAGGTAGACGCTGAAGAACAAATCCCAGAAGCCTCCTCCTCCAGCACCGTAGGAGGAGAGAATAGAATGCCAGGGATCCTGAGTCCCCATCTCCCCCAAGTTCTCTGAGCATTGGCGTACCTAGGAGAAATGCCTGAGTTGGATGGGACCCTGGGAAAGCTCAGACGGAGCTAGGATGTCGCCAAGAGAAGAACAAGCGGCATTTGCAATGGTCAAAATGAGCTCCCCCTCCCCGCCACCGGACACAGACTGGAAGAGGATGCCCACTCAGAAAAGAGGCAAATCTAGAAGGGTGGAAACACACCCACCCCCTCCACCACCCTCGTTCCCTCTCTAGGCCTTTCCAGAGCTCGGCAGCTTGTGTGTTTCAGTATTACTTTCCATTGGAGAGTGAGTGAGGACAGGACCTTGGGGGAAAATGGAAAAGCTCTTGTGGGCTGTGCACCGAAGCCAAGACCTGTTGCGCTGCTAGGCTAGCCCTCTGAAAGGACAGTTGTAGAATTAAGCCAACTCCAGAAGAGTCCAGGAAGCCTGGCTCATGATGGATTGGAGGTGGAGACAAGGGGAGTTTGGAGACCTCAGGATTCTCCCCCAGGGGAGACAAAGCATGCTTCCCTGACCTATCTCTGTCCCAAGACCAGAGAGACGACAGCCCTGATCCTTATAGCCTCTTACCTCTGCTTCACTCCTGGGAAAAAGAAAACCCAGCCTCTCGTTCAGGGTCACCTCCCCCTCAGGTTCCCATAGTCTGGGGGAGGAGGGTAGGGGAGTAGGGACAGATCCCCAGAGCAGAAATGGCTGCCTTTGCCACAGGAACAGCCTAAACTGTCCAGCCTATTCCCTTATTCCCATCCAAGTCCAAGCTTTCTCTTAGCTTCTGCAGGGGCCTGGCCTCTCTCTGTTCTGAATCTACCTCCAAATTGCTCCCTACTTATCCAGGTGGAATGAGTCTGAGACCAGCAGATGCACAGACAGAAGCCTAAAGATTCCAGGAACGGTAAGTGAGACAGCTGGAGATGGGACTCAAGGAGAGGACATCCCCTCCAAGGGAGCAGCTATATCTTCTGGTCTGGCCCCTGGTATTCCTAGTCTGAGCTGGCGCTTGCTGGGGCCAGTGATCTAGGTCAACCCTAGGACCTCCTGGGGTTTTTCCTGTCCTCATCTGTGGCTAGTTTCTCCCAGCACCTCTGTCTTCCACTTCCCTGGTTTCTCTTTGGTTCTTATCCACCCTCTGAGGCCCTGTTTGGTTCCCAGGAGAAAGGAGGAAGAGAGCAATGGGCCTCGGGTAGACTCCTGGGTCCCGAGTTCGCATGCCATCAACCTTGGGCAAGACATTTAACTTCTAGCCTAGGTTTGTCTCTTCCTTCTTTCCTTTATTTAGTTTAGTGTGTGTGCACATGTGTACCCACGTGAGGGCCAGGGGAAGCCGTCTAGCAGAGCCCTCCTGCCCTGTTACTCTCCACCTTACTTCCTTCAGACAGGGTCATCACTAGACTGTCCAGTGGTTCAGGGATCTTTTTACATCGTCTAGATTTTTACATCTGTGTTGCTATTCTCATATTTGCTCAGCAAGTCCTCTTACTCACTGAACCATACCTCTCAGCCCTGTGTTTTGCTTTTGTTTGTTTGAGATAGGATCTTCCTATTTAGCCCTGGCTAGCTTGGAACTCACTATGTAAACCAGGCTGGCCTCACACTACCAATGATCCCTCTTTGCTGCTGCCTCTGAAGTGCTAGGATTACAAGCATATCTCTCTCTCTCTCCTCTCTCTCTCTCTCTCTCTCTCTCTCTCTCTCTCTTTCTCAAAAATTTAAATCATGTTCAGATTAAATTGCACTGCTGCTACAGTACCACAATTTGAAACTCAAATACAAAAAAAAGAAAGAAATTGGTGGGAAAAATAATTCTTCCTCTTACTTCCATCTTCTAGACAAGAAGCAAATTTCCTTCTTTAATTGCAAACAATATACACTTTCCGGATATGATATATACATATTAAGTAAAACTTACCTTGCCTTGTGTGTACATACTCCTACTTGTTGCTCCCCCCCCCCCCCCGCCGCCATAAGATGAATTCTCACTAGAGACTATCGCACACATCATTGCAAAGTTCTTGGATGGATTTGGTTTTGGTTGTGTTCTGTTCTGTTCTGTGTTCCCAGAAGTTTGAAGGGAATGCATTTCCAGATTCTCCACAGTGTCCTCAGCTCCTCTGCTGATGCCTGTGGGGGTTATAGCCAAACTTTTTGAGCTTTATTTGTAAAACGGGCAATAGCAATCCTTTGTGAAGCAGAATGCAGTCAAGAGCACACAAGTGAGGTGTCTGGATTGAGAGCTCAAAAAGTGGGAGTCAGCATCATTGTTTAGTTCGCTCTACAAAATCTCTTAAATGTCTCCTCCACAGGCCCTGCCTTCCTGTCCTCTGGTCCTTCTGTATCACTCATTGCCTCCGACAGTGACATCGTGCCTGGCTATACGCTGCCTGAGGACAAGGTATGCATTCTGTTTAACCTTGGGGCTCAGAGAAGGGGCTGAACCTGAGTGCAGGGGACCGTCTGCCCTGAGCTAAATGGGGTACGTATTTCTCTCCACAGAATGAGTGAGCGGACCACGAGCAACTGGAACCCAGGCAGCTGGGTGCTAGCGCTGTGCCTGGCCTGGCTGTGGACACGGCTGGCCTCTGCCTCCTTGCAGCCTCCCACAGCCACAGGTTTGGGGAAGGTGGTGAGAGACTAGAGAGGACTTTTTCCTAGGACATCTGGAGAGCTAGAAGGCACTCCAACCCACTCCATGAAGCAGGCAGATCTCTGGGGCAGAGTAAACTTTGCAGAGGTGACTCCTCTGACCATTGCCCAGGAAACTGCCCTCTTCTGCGGCCCGGTCCAGAGAAGGCCTGGGCAGACACATTGGTACTAGCCTTTCCAGGGGGAAGGTGCTCTACAGTGAGAGGCCCTCGGTGGAGGCTTAAGTCTATCTAGTCTCCTGGCCTAATTCTGGGGTTTTCCTTCTGGGATGGCTAAAGCCTCTGTAAGCGGATGATCCTCCCCAACGCATTGTAAGCTCTGGGGCCCTTGCCCTCACCCTGAGAAAGTGGAAGGTGGGGGCTGGCATGCAACTCCGGTTTTCAAAGAGTCGTGAGTGTGGCCTCAGCGGAGTGGGGTGGGGTAGGGAGGTAACACGAAGGTTTCATCTGTTCTTCTCTCCCTTACTTTTAGATAACCCTCTCTCTCCTCTCTCTCTCTCTCTCTCTCTCTCTCTCTCTCTCTCTCTCTCTCTCTCT